AACTCAACATTTCTCAATTGCTCTACTTTTTATTAAAATAGCTACATAGTATATACCGTTCACGTCGTCGTCCAACCTCTTGAAGTATATATTTTTTTTCCTAGTTTAGAGCAAAACCGTAACCACTAATTCTCAATTTGTGGTATAACGATTTAACCCACAATTTTTAATATGGTGATTTTTTACTCATATAAACCGCTTATAGTATTAGCGATTTTGTTTTACACAAAAAACTCATATTTAAGAGCAAGTTTAGCCCCAAATCTTAAGACTTGAATGTGACATCATTTTTTGTGGTCCCCATTGAAAATGATGTCATCAAATTCTTGTTAAGACTCACTAAGACTTAAATATTTGACATATTATATGTAGAAAAGTGTAAAAATAAATAAAAAAGGATAATAAAAATAAAAGTGAGGTGGGTGAAGTAGGTCTCAATCTCAAGTCTCAAGTTGAGTTTTGAAGAAAAATGGGAAAAATCTTAAGCATATGTCTTAAGACTCAAAATGATGATGTCACCCCAAATCTAAGAGCAAGTTTAGCCCCAAGTCTTAAGACTTGAATGTGACATCATTTTTTATGGTCCCCATTGAAAATGATGTCATCAAATTCTTGTTAAGACTCACTAAGACTTACACATATTTATCACTTTAGCCCTAAAACTTAAATATTTGACATATTATATGTAGAAAAGTGTAAGAAAAAAAAAAGGATAATAAAAATAAAAATGAGGTGGGAGTAGTGGGTCCCAATCTCAAGTCTTAAGTTGAGTCTTGAAATTTCAAGACTCAACTTGAGACTTGCTTGAGATTTTTGAAGAAAAATGGGAAAAGTTTTAAGCATAAGTCTTAAGACTTGTTAAAATGATGATGTCACCCCAAGTCTTAAGACTTGGGGCTAAACTTGCTCTAAGTTGGATAGATGACATGGATGTAGAATTTTTTTTTTAAAAAAAAGTAGTGTAATGATTATTACTTTTAGAAGACTAGAATTATGATTATTACTTATAGAAGAGTAGAAGTACATAGAAGGGTTTACCAAATCAAAAATTAAACAAGATGGCTGACTTTAAAAATAGAACAGTTTTGTGTCTTGGCAGTGCCCAAATTGTTGATAAAATTTTAAGATAAATTTTTTGGCTTGAATGTTAAATACGGTTCTATAATCCCTTTTGAATTTTTGAAATTTTGTTTGTAAATAATAATCTATATTATTATTTACTTGAATTTTTTTTTATATAGAATTAAAACTATTTTTACACTGAAATGAAAGTATTTTTTTTTAGCAAACTAAAATTATTTTTACTGATTAGATCTTATTTTTACATATTCTCTATAATTTAATATATTAAATATATCTATGTTATTATTAACTTCAAATTGATTTTATTAAAAGTATTTTGTACTAATATTCACTATTATTTTTAAAAATAAATTAAAATATTATAAATGGATCTTAGTTAAAAAGTACTTTTCAAAACAAATTTTAGGATGAAAATAGAACCGAGCTGAGTTATACGATATTTATTCAAACTTATGATTTATTATGAAATATGAAATATTAGATGTATATTGACAATGAAACTCTATAAAAAATTTAATCTATCCAAAAATTCACTTAGTTAGTATCATATGTGTCATAATATACCTAAATTTTCGCTTACGTGGTGTGCCACATGGCGAATAACTTGAATGCTAAGTGTCACTCTTTTGTGGTCTGGCTGCGAGACTGGCTTGTAGTATGAAAGGAATTAGCCACATTTTTGTGGAATTATAAAAACTAAGCTAAAGGAAATTAAAGTCACACAAAGAGATTTTAGCATGGAAAACTTCTTGACCCTAAAAAGAAGAAAAACCACGACGACTTGGGATTTTTGGAAAGATTTTTTTACTAGAATAGGGCAATCAACCTATTACAAGCTAAGATTCTATCTCCAAGTTCCTCAACGAACTTGGAGTTGCCAGTAGCAAGTCCCTCAACCTACTGCTATTCTCTTCTCACTCTTTCTCGATTGACTTCTCTAGAGTTCAGTCAAACTCTCAATCCCCAATTACAAATCTTGAAAGAAATAGTACGTCTAATGAAGGAAAATAAGAAAGTTATCAACTAAAATAGAATGCGACTCTTGACTCTTTTTTAAAACAAAGAAGATAGAAAATGTGATTGAGCAAGGGTGAGTTTTTCTAGAAAACAACTTAGATATTTATAGAAAAACTTAGCTTAATTAAAACTCCATAACTTCCTCCACTTACGCCACTACTGCTGCATATCAACACCACCACTCTCCACTACTTCCAGTGCTTCAAACATGTCCTAAAAATCAGGGCATGTTGAACCACTTAGAAGCAATTTCCTCGTTTAGTGGAGGACTTAATCAATCACCACTTGCGCAAGTACGGTTAAGGGAATCAATTGAACAAGCTTTTGAAAGATATTTTTTTTCTGAAAATAAAAGATATTAATTTGAATAACAAATCAGAAAAAGATATTTTCAAAAAAAAAACTTCCCCATAATTTAGCAATCTTTAAGTTATATCTAAAACAAATTTTAATCGCATTCTACTAAGCATGCAACTTCAAATTAGTTTCACTTACATATATCCTAAAATATAGAATACTTTAGACTTTATAATTTCTCTTAGGATGTCTCTGCTCCGAGTCTTCATTCTCCTGCTTCTACTTCGAAGCTTATGTTCCTTCAAAGGAACACTGCAACTAATCTTCAGTTTCTCTAAGCTCTAGTTCCTTTGTCTTGAATAGCTCTGCAACTTGACTTATCAAACTACACAACTTATCAAGACATTAGTCCAATCATAAGTTTGACTTGTGTTATCATCAAAACATCAAAGGCAACACTGACTTTATATATTAGTGATAGTTTTGTGCCTGGGTGATGCCTAGATCTTAAATAAAATTTTAGAATAAACCTTGAATATGAAATACGATCATATAATCCCTTTAGAAAATGAAAAATATTTAGGCATATGATATCATATCGCTTATTTATATAACAGTGTACTTTTGGTAGTTTTGTTTGTAAATACATATCTACTCATGTTATTATTAACTTGATATTATTTTTATGAACCTAAATTAGTTTTTACTAAACTAGAAGTATTTTTTTTTCAAACTCGAAGTACTTTTATTGATTAAAACTTATTTTTATTGATTTTAAATTACTCTATGCTTTTAAATTAAATTAAAGATCAAATTTTAAAACACATCTTTAATTTTCTTCCACTACGTACTCACCAACTCTAAAAATTCACTTGATCAGATTAACTAAGGGTCTGTTCTCTTACGTTGAAATTCAGTTCAGTTCAGTTCAGCTCAGTTCAGTTCAGTTCAGGTCCAAATTTCCTTCTCTTATAAAATATTTAGTTCAGTTCAGCTCAGCTTAGTTCAGTTCAGTTCAGTTCAGTTTAGTTCAGCTCAGTTTAGTTTAGTTCAGTTCAGTTCACTTCAGCTGAGTTCAGTCAATGAGAACAGACCCTAAATCATGTGCTTTCACAATAAATATGCCAAAATCAAATCACCTATAAATCGAACGTTGCCAACAAAAAACAAAGGAGAAAGTATACGACATCAATGACATGAACTTATTACAAAATGCATGACGAAACATAAATTGAACATTGTCCAACATTTACAACTCTCAATTCAATTAATAATTGCAGATAAATTATAGCAGGGCAGGCCCATTGATTTTGTGCATTTATTAAATGATATGATCTGATTTGTAGAGAATTAAATAACATTAATTATTTAATTATACTTGTAAAAAGTTAGAAGTGGTATTATAATGGGAGTTTAGGTTCTTCTATCGACATGTAAGCTGGTCTTTAAGGAATCCCACTTTTATAAAATACTTTGTATTATAATTAATGCAGACGTGTCCTAATCCTGTAGACAAACGGATCTTCATTAATAGAATAACATGTTTTGCTAAACCTAGCCGTAAAGTATTTGCATTAAAAATAAATATTACGCCCTTCAATTCCTTCTGAAGTTCTTATTTTATTAATATTTTAAGGAAATTTTTAAAATTATTCTTGTTTTTAATAGCTTTTAAAATTATTCTTAAAATATAAGAAAACACGTAGTTATTTGTAATTATATTTAATTTACCTAGATAAGTGATTTAAAAATATCAAGTTTTGATAATCTTTACTACAAATAAGTAATTACACGAGTTAGGGCTTGTTCTTTTCAGCTTATTTTCAGTTCAGTTGAGCTTCAATAAGTTCAGTTTGACTTTAATAAGTTCAGTTCAATTCTAATCTTAATTTTCTTCTTTCATAAAATATTCAATATAGTTCAGTTCAGTTCAGCTCCAATAAATTCAGTTTAGCTCACTTCAGTCAATCAGAACAGACCCTTAATAATCATGCATTTATAAATAGTGCACAATCTAATCAAATTCATAAATAGGAAAAATGTTGTACATACAAACTTCATTCTTTATTATTTGTTGTATTTCCTTTTAGCATAATTTATCCATTTACAAATTTTTCATGTTAAATAATTTTTGCCTAAATAATATAAGAAAATCTATAATTTTTTTTTATTATTATATTCGCTTATCTAAATTTCAAAATAACCGTTAAAATCATGATTTTTGTTGATCAATATAATAAAATCGAGTTGAGATCCTCTAGAGTTTGAAAATTATAGAGTTGTAGAGTTTTGAGAGTTTTTAATTATTTTTATTGAACTTTTATTTTTTATTTTGAAATGCATGCAAGATGAATATTAGCCATTGATCTTTTGTGGAGGGTCTAAATTTATTGAACTCTATAGAGTTCAACTCTAAAGGATCCAAACCCAAGCAAATCTCATCTATTTAGGGTATGTTCTCTTACGTTGAAATTCAGTTCAGTTCAGCTCCTGTTCAGCTGAGTTCAGTTAATGAGAACAAGCCCTTAGTCCTCTATGTTTTTACTTTTCACTTATGATTGTATTTAGAAAATATATTATCTGAAAAAGTTTTTTTTTTTTTTTTTTTTTTTTTTTTTAAACACGGAGTAGTATTGAAAATGTAGGATGAAAAATAATTACATCATATGACAAAATAATATGTGTTCATGTTGTGTCAACTTGTCAGGTTCTAATTTCTCTTTCCATTAAATATTGCCATTCTTAACGACGGATAATCATGATGTAAACGGATTCAATTTCAAGTCCGGAGCTAATACTCGGGGCCGCCGCCGGGGTAACACCCAAAGTTAGATAATAGCATTATTAGTTTAATCTCATAAAGTAATGGGGGTATTTCCTTTAATTAAAAAAGAATCTACTCTAAAAAGCTACTTGTATTTTACTTCCCAAAAAGTTAGTATAACCTTTCTAGCTTTCTCAGCTATCTTCTCTTCAATCAGCACTAAAAAAGAGGAAGAGAAGAAGCTGCTGATAGAGAAGCCAAGGAAGGTGAAAGCATGCTTTGTCGGCCATTAAAGCTTCATCTAAGACCTTTCATCCATCCTCTTCGATTTTCCTAAAGATTTTTCACCATAATTTTTCATTTTGACCCAGATTTCATTCATCTTATTTTATTTTTATTTGGTGGGATCACAGAATAAAATCCCTTCATTCATTGCATTTTGAGTGTCTTTTTTGCTTCTTAGAAGGTTACTATATCTTCACCTTGGGAAAAGAAGAAAAACCCCATATTATTTTTCATTTCTTTTTCTCTTTTTCAGCTCTAATTTTGCCTTTATTTCATCAATTATATGATTCCCACAAATCTTGGGAAAAGTTGAATTTATGTGTTTATGCTTAATGGGTTGCAATTGTGGTTGTATTTTTCCTCCTTATATCAGCTCTCATTCATGGTGGTTTTCTTGCCTCTCCTACTTCTTCTTTACAAATAATGGCCTTAGTGGTATGCTTGTAGCCTTCTCTTGATCCTTTCTTGTATCTTGTTTTCGGGTTTTCGATTTTTCGGATTATGTTGCACCCATCATTGTTCTTTAACTTGTGATATTGATTACTATTAGGTTGTTAGAATTGAAGGAGGGAAAAGGGTTATGTTAGCAATTTTTGTATGAATAAAGGGTTTTTAGAATGCCAATGTTTTCTAAATCACATAAATTTTGGGTTTGGGGATTTCTCATTGTTATTGCCCATGTAATTTACTTGTCTGAAGGGTTGAATTCTGAGGGTTTTTGTCTGTTAGAACTGAGAAATGGACTTAATGATAAATACAATAATCTGAGTAATTGGAATCATAGTGATCAAACACCTTGTAAATGGATAGGTGTGACCTGTTCCAACAGTACTTACCAGCCTGTTGTAGTATCTCTTGATCTTACAATGATGAATCTTTCGGGTTTGTTAGGACCGAGTATTGGCTGTTTAACCCACCTCACTTATCTTGATGTTTCTTTCAATTCATTGGGTGGGAGTATACCACATGAGTTAGGGAATTGCTCGTTGTTACAGTCTGTCTCTTTGAACAATAATCAGTTTGAAGGTTCAATCCCTGCTTCATTGGGTAGTTTGTCTTCTTTGCAATACCTGAATCTGTGCAATAATCTGTTGTCTGGTCCCATTCCTGATGAGTTTGGGAACCTTTCGTCGTTGGTTGAATTTGTGGCATACACCAATAGGATTAGTGGTCCATTGCCTCGGTCGCTTGGGAATCTGAAACAGTTGCAAAAGTTTCGTGCTGGGCAAACGTCGATCAGTGGAACCTTGCCTGCTGAGATTGGCAGATGTGAAAATTTGGAATATCTTGGACTGGCACAAAATCAGCTTGTTGGGAATATACCTAAGGAGATTGGGAAGCTTACTAAGCTGACTGAAGTGATTCTTTGGGGTAATCAACTTTCGGGTAATATTCCGAAAGAGATTGGGAATTGTACTAATCTTGAAACACTTGCTTTATACCAGAACAATCTTGTTGGGGAAATCCCTGCAGAAATTGGGAATCTCAAGTTTCTTAAAAGATTATACCTCTATAGGAATCAGCTCAATGGAACCATTCCAAGGGAAATAGGGAATCTATCTTTAGCATCCGAAATCGATTTTTCTGAGAATTTATTGACAGGGGAGATTCCAGCTGATTTTGGCAACATAAAGAATCTGACACTTCTGTATCTTTTCCAGAACCAGCTTACTGGTTTTATACCAAATGAGTTGACTTCCTTGAAGAACTTGACAAAGCTGGATCTTTCAATCAATCATCTCACTGGTCCTATTCCAATCGGCTTTCAATACTTAAATCGGATTATGCAACTTCAGCTGTTCGACAACGAGCTTACTGGTACCATCCCTCGAGGGCTTGGGATATACAGCCCACTCTGGGTTGTTGATTTTTCAGCAAATATGTTGACAGGGAGGATTCCGCCATTTCTATGCCGTCATTCTAATTTGATATTGTTGAATCTTGAGTCGAATAAGCTTTATGGGAATATTCCAATGGGGGTTTTAAACTGCCCATCCTTGGTACAGCTTCGTTTGGTTCGAAATAAGCTGACAGGGAGCTTTCCTTCAGAATTGTGCCAATTGAAGAACCTCTCTGCCATTGAGCTTGGACAGAACAAGTTTAGTGGTCCTATTCCCCCTGAAGTTGGAAATTGTAATAAATTGCAGCGACTGGATCTTGCAAACAATAATTTTGTCTTGTGGTTGCCGAAAGAGATTGGTAATTTGTCTCAGCTGGTGACTTTTAACATCTCATCCAATTTTCTTACAGGGAGTATCCCGATTGATATCATTAACTGCAAGAAGCTTCAGCGGCTTGACCTTAGCTTTAACAGCTTTGAAGGTAATCTGCCAGATGAACTGGGGACCCTTTTGCAGCTGGAACTTCTCATGCTTTCAGAAAATAAGTTTTCTGGAAATATTCCTGCTGTACTGGGCAATCTTACTCGCTTAACTGAGCTGCAGATGGGTGGAAACTCATTGTCTGGTCGGATACCATCGTCTCTGGGATCTCTTTCAAGCTTGCAGATTGCTATGAATCTTAGCTATAATAATCTGTCTGGGACAATCCCGTCAGAACTTGGAAATCTTATTCTTCTGGAATATCTTTACCTGAATAACAACCAACTGACTGGTGAAATTCCAAGCACATTTGGAGATCTTTCTAGCTTGTTGGGTGTAAACTTCTCGTATAATGACTTAACAGGGCCAATACCGTCAATACCATTGTTCCAGACCATGGAATTGAGCAGCTTTCTTGGAAATAAGGATCTTTGTGGCCAGCCTCTTGCTTCAGCCTGCAACGATACATCAGCATTTCATCCGTTTCTGCCCCAAAAAAATGCTGAATCTTCTCAGGGAAAAACTGTTACTATAATTGCAGTTACTGTAGGTGGCATTTCACTCATTCTTATTGTAGTTATATTGTTTTACATGCGCCGGCCTGTTGAAACCGTGGCTTCTGTGGAAGAGAATGGTGATGATTCTTCAGTCTCAGATATTTACTTTCCTCCAAAGGAAGGCTTCACTTTCCATGATCTCATTGTGGCAACTAGCAATTTTCATGAGAGCTATGTTATTGGAAAGGGTGCTTGTGGTACGGTTTATAAGGCAGTAATGCATACAGGATTGACAATTGCTGTCAAGAGACTAGCTTCTAATAGGGAGGGGAACAACATTGAGAACAGCTTCCGAGCAGAGATATTGACTCTTGGAAAGATTAGACATCGAAATATAGTGAAGCTTTATGGGTTTTGCTATAACCAGGGTTCAAATCTGCTGCTGTATGAGTACATGTCAAGGGGCAGCCTAGGCGAGGTTCTTCATGGGTCTTCATGTAGCTTGGATTGGCCTACTCGGTTCTCAATTGCACTTGGTTCTGCTCAAGGTCTAGCGTATTTACACCATGACTGCAAACCGAGGATTATTCACCGTGATATCAAATCCAACAATATCCTACTAGATGATAAGTTTGAAGCACATGTTGGTGATTTTGGCTTGGCAAAGGTTGTTGACATGCCACAATCAAAATCAGTTTCTGCAGTTGCTGGATCATACGGATATATTGCCCCTGGTAAGATTTTTATGTGACTTGGACATATTCGAATTATAAGTTTTTTTCTCTTTTCTTTCCTTTTTCCATTTTCAATTCTCATTTGTGTACTTGTTATTTCATCATCTGGCAAATGCTATTAACCTTTAGCGAATGTATAAAATGAACGATAGCCATAACAACTTTGTCGGTACCCCCTCCACAAATTTTCGGTGATTCATTCTAGGATATTATCTTCTTCTCTTGGAAAACGATTTGCCTATAATATGTTCATTAGTGACGAAAATGGTCTTGACTTGCCGTTAAGAATTGCGTAAGTTGTGATGAGTGTCTATCATATATTATGGAATGCCTTGCAAGCAATTAATGTGAAATAATCGGATGAAATTATAATGTTGCTTTTGTTGGCAGATAATTAAGAAACATAAAGAAAAAAAAATGGTTATTAAATACCATGCATTACCATTGAAAATTAAAGGTGTTTCCAAATATAGGGAAAAATAACTAATGGTAATAAATATTGCAGGCTAAATTTTAAATGGTTTCGGTTGTTTTAGGAAAACTATAAATTGAGCATTTCCTTCATTTGTATGTAATAATTTCAAGAGAAAAATCTGAGAGAAGAAAAATAATTCAGAGAAAAGAGGGGTTGTGTTTTTGCACTTTGGTATAAATAGACATTTTGTTTATGTAATTTATTTCTCCCTCAAATTTGATTAAATAGAAAATTTGCATTATTTTCTTAACAATTGGTATCAAGAGCTTGGTTGACAATTAGTCCACATTACGATAAAAATAAAAACGATCCTAAAAGAAAAAGTCAAATTTGAGTGGGAGAAATGGCTGCAGACAAAGGAGAAGTTAAACATGAAAAATTCGATGGTAAAGATTTCGGATTTTGGAAAATGCAGATTGAAGATTATTTATACCAGAAAAAACTCTATCAACCTCTGGAAGAGAAAAAGCCAGATGGCATGCAAGAAGCAGAATGGAAGCTTTTAGATAGACAAGCACTCGGAGTTATTCGATTGACGTTATCACGCAATGTGGCGTTTAACATTGCAAAGGAAACCACAACGACATGTCTCATGAAAGCTCTCTCTAATATGTATGAGAAGCCATCAGCCTCCAATAAAGTTCATTTGATGAGGCGGTTGTTTAGTTTGAGGATGTCGGAAGGTGGATCGGTAGCTCAACACCTTAATGAACTCAATTCTGTCACAACCCAATTGAGTTCTGTTGAAATCAAATTTGATGATAAAGTATTAGCGTTAATACTTTTATCTTCCCTTCCAGATAGTTGGAATGCAACAGTCACAGCTGTGAGTAGCTCATCGGGAAATAACAAGTTGAAGTTTGATGACGTTCGTGATCTGGTTCTTAGTGAGGAGATTCGACGAAGAGAATCAGGTGAATCTTCATCCTCTTCAGTATTGCATACAGAGTCAAGAGGAAGAAATTTAATCAGAAGGAATGAACGCGGAAGATCAAACTATCGAGGACAATCCAGAGATAGGAGGTCAAAATCCAGGAATCCAAATAATTTCCAAAACTCAAAGACTGTGGAGTGTTGGAATTGTGGAAAGATTGGGCACTATAAAAATCAGTGCAAGGGAACACCAAAAGGCAAAGAAGTGAAGGTAGAGGCAAATGTCACTTCTACCGGAGAAGGTGATGATGCGTTGATATGCTCATTGGAGAGCAAAGAAGAGTCTTGGGTATTAGACTGTGGAGCATCGTTCCATGCTACTTCTAATAAAAACTTTTTTGAGAAGTATGTCCATAGAAACCTTGGACATGTATACCTTGGTGATGACCAACCTTGTGATATTGTTGGTCAAGGTAATGTCAAAATTAAGTTAAATGGGTCAGCTTGGGAGCTGAAGGATGTCAAACATGTTCCCGACCTAAGAAAGAACTTGATCTCAGTTGGGCAGTTGGCTCGTGAAGGTTACACTATAATCTTTCAAGGTGATAATTGGAAGATTTCAAAGGGAGCAATGATAGTTGCTCATGGTAAAAAGAATGGTACTCTCTATTTGACAGCTGGAGCGTGTTATTCGATTGCAGTTGCAACAGAGAATGAAAATTCCAAGTTATGGCACCAGAGACTTGGTCACATGAGTGAGAAAGGAATGAAGATCATGCATTCAATTGGAAAACTCTCTAGTCTAAAATTTGTGAATTTAGACATGTGTGAAGAATGCATACTTGGAAAGCAGAAGAGGGTAAGCTTTCAGACATATGGAAGAACTCCAATGAAAGAAAAATTGGAGCTTGTTCATTCTGATGTGTGGGGACCAACAACCACCCAGTCTATAGGTGGAAAACAGTACTTTGTGACTTTTATTGATGATCACTCTAGGAAAGTATGGGTTTACTTTCTAAAATACAAGTCCGAAGTGTTTGAAGTTTTCAGGATATGGAAAGCTAGGGTTGAAAATGAATCAAGTCTGAAGATCAAAAGATTTAGGTCCGACAATGGCGGAGAATATGAGGACACCAAATTCAAGAAGTTAGCTGAGCGGATGAACTGAACATTGACAGAAAGAGCCAGAAGCATTCGTATACAGTCAGGTCTACCAAAACAATTCCGGGCAGAAGCAGTCAATACAGCAGCTTACTTGATCAATCGAGGACCATCAACCCCATTGGAGTACAAATTACCAGAGGAGGTATGGAGCGGCAAAGAGATCAAATTGTCGCACTTAAAGGTATTTGGTTGTGTAGCTTATGTGCACATTAGTGATCAAGGCAGAAATAAGCTTGATCCTAAATCAAAAGTTTGCACTTTTATCGGTTATGGCGAATATGAGTTCGGATACCGCATTTGGGATGATGAAAGCAAAAAGATTATTCGTTCAAGAGATTTAATTTTCAATGAGAGAGTCATGTACAAAGATAGGCATAAAATTGAGAGTTATGAAACAAATCAAAAAGAATCTACATTCATTGATGAAGATTATGTCCCAGACAGTACGATGCAAGAGTACACTATCATAAGTACTCCGCAACAAGAAGAACAGACTGTACAGGGCAGTACATCGCAATCAAATGACATACAACAACCTTCTTGTCCAACTCCTACACTAAGAAGGAGTACTCGACCACATGTGCCTAATAGAAAATATATGAATTATTTGTTATTAACTGATGATGGGGAACCAGAAGATTATTATGAAGCATCCCAGACCAGAGATGCTAGCAAGTGGGGGCTTGCAATGAAAGATGAAATGCAATCCCTGATTTCAAACCAGACATGGGAACTAACTGAGTTACCCATAGGTAAGAAGGCCCTTTATAACAAATGGATATATCGAGCAAAAAAGGAGCACGATGATTCCAAGAGGTATAAGGCTCGACTAGTTGTCAAAGGTTTTCAACAGAAAGAGGGAGTTGATTATAATGAGATATTCGCTCCTGTTGTGAAACTCAATACCATTAGAACAGTGTTGAGTATTGTTGCAATTGAAGATCTTTATCTCGAGCAGTTAGATGTGAAGACTGCATTTCTTCATGGAGATCTTGATGAAGAAATATACATGCACCAGCTAGAAGGTTTTATAAAAAGTGGGAAAAAGTAGATGGTATGCAAACTTAAGAAAAGTTTATACGGGCTAAAACAAGCCCCAAGACAATGGTACAAAAAGTTTGATAACTTCATGCACAAGGAAGATTTCCAGAAGTGCAATGCTGACCACTGTTGCTACTTCAAGAGATATCAATCCAGTTATATCATCCTATTACTTTATGTTGATGATATGTTAATAGCAGGTTCTGATATGAATGATATTATAAAGTTGAAGCATCAATTGTCAAAGGAATTTGACATGAAGGACTTGGGTCCAGCAAAGAAGATTTTAGGAATGCAAATCACAAGAGATAAGCAGAGAGGCACTTTGCAGTTATCACAATCAGAGTACATCAAACGTGTTCTTCAGAAATTTAATATGGGTGATGCTAAGCCTGTTAGTACACCGTTGGCGAGTCATTTTCGTCTATCAAAGGATCAGTCCCCTCAGACAGATGAAGATAAAGAATATATGGCCAAGGTTCCTTATGCCTCGGCTATTGGAAGTTTGATGTATGCAATGGTTTGTACAAGACCAGATATTAGACATGCAGTGGGAGTTGTAAGCAGGTTTATGTCCAATCCAGGAAAAGTCCATTGGGAAGCTGTTAAATGGATTTTGAGGTATTTACGAGGTACAATTAATAAGTGTTTGTACTTTGGTAAAGGTGAATTGAAAATACAAGGTTACGTTGATGCAAACTTTGGCGGTGAATTCGATAATAGAAAGAGCACAACGGGTTATGTATTTACAGTTGGAAATACAGCCGTAAGTTGGATGTCCCAACTACAAAAGATTGTTGCTTTATCCACTACAGAAGCTGAGTATGTGGCAGTGACCGAAGCTAGTAAAGAGATGATATGGCTTCAAGGTTTGTTAGATGAGCTGGGGTTCAAACAAGTGAATAATATTTTGTATGGCGATAGTCAGAGTGCTATACATTTAGCAAAGAATTCGGCGTTTCACTCAAGAACAAAGCACATCGGTATTCGTTATCACTTTATCAGGTCTCTTCTAGAAGATGAAGTGTTAACTCTTAAAAAGATTCTTGGCAGTAAGAATCCAGCAGACATGTTAACGAAAACAGTGACGATTGACAAGTTGAAATTGTGCTCAACATCAATTGGTCTTAAAATGACACAAGACTAGTTGAGGTTCTACTCCTTGGTGTGAAGACAAATTGAAATCAGTCTTCAAGTGGGAGATTGTTGGCAGATAATTAAGAAACATAAAGAAAAAAAATAAATGGTTATTAAATAACCCTGCATTACCATTGAAAATTAAAGGTGTTTCCAAATATAGGGAAAAATAACTAATGGTAATAAATATTGCAGGCTAAATTTTAAATGGCTTAGGTTGTTTTAGGAAAACTATAAATTGAGCATTTCCTTCATTTGTATGTAATAATTTCAAGAGAAAAATCTGAGAGAAGAAAAATAACTCAGAGAAAAGAGGGGTTGTGTTTTTGCACTTTGGTATAAATAGACATTTTGTTTATGTAATTTATTTCTCCCTCAAATTTGATTAAATAGAAAATTTGCATTATTTTCTTAACAGCTTTGATGTGTCATTTAATTTTTAAAGAACAGCCCTTGTTCTTTGTTCATTGATTTGTTTTCCGGCTGTAGTTGGACATGCAGAAATGCAGAACTGGTAATTTTCTACACAGTTCCTTAGGATATGTTAAACTTAACTCGTCTATTGACTCAATATGCGATTTACTGAGCCTCTTAATTTGACTGAAAATAGTTACATCTTGATGATTTCATTCTATTGAACTTGAATTAATCAAGTAAACTGTTTTAGACGTGGTGGATATATAGCTAAGATTTGATCATAATCAAAATTACTCCTTATAAATTTCTGAAAAATCATACTAAAAAAATAATGTAGGCTCTTCTATGAGATAAAAAATCAGGTTGCTAGGTCTAGATATTAGGTAGAGAGCAAAAACTTGTTACACAGGTTATGTTAACTTAGCCCTCGGACAAAATACGGTACTATGTATTATATATCCTTGGGACAGGAGTATTTACTTTGTAAGGTAAGGTTAGAAGCATATTTAAGACTGATATACTGTAATAACATGAATGTCTAAGGCCAGTAATTGCATCGCCAGTCAATGAGGATTACATTTTGATCTAATTCTACTGAGTTATGGCTTCTATTGGGAAAAATGCAAGTATAGCAGAGTTATTTTTCTCAATATATGGTTTTTTTTATGTCCTTGCAGAGTATGCATACACCATGAAGGTTACAGAAAAGTGCGACATCTACAGCTATGGAGTAGTTCTTTTGGAATTGCTAACTGGAAGAACCCCTGTACAGCCAATAGAACAGGGAGGCGACCTAGTTAATTGGGCCAAAAGTTATATCCGATCTAATTCATTAACGCCTGGGATACTTGATGATCGATTAAATCTACAAGACCAAGCAATTGTTGATCATATGTTAACTGTCATGAAACTTGCTTTACTCTGCACTAACATGTCTCCTTTCGACCGGCCATCTATGAGGGAAGTTGTGTTGATGCTAATTGAATCGAATCAACAAAACGAGAAGTCAGATTCTCCTTCATTTCATGATCATGATATACCTCTCAAGGAAAATGCAGTCTGAACACTTACACATGCAGTAATGTGGCTAATTCTTCTTTCTAATTAATATTGTTATTAGAGATTAACTAATCTTCATGTATATTCTATATATAAATTTTCTTTCCCCCATTTTGTAAGGTAAAATATAATTATTCTGCTCCTGATCAACATGAGCTTATAGGAATCACTGTATTCTAGAAACATTATAGCCTTCCCATAAATGATTCAATGGTGGCCTTAAATTATCTTGGTCACCTGATTAATAATCAAATGCTGTTGCAATTTACCTTCTTTCAGCTGATCTATGAGTTCTATAATCTCCATTTCTATATCGCCTTTTCGTTTTCATATACCTGTGGTAACTCTAATCATATATATGTGAGGCCAATTTCCATGGCTCTACTAGTGAACTGCAGGTTGGCATCTGCACTAACACTACCCAAACTGACAAAAAATCTTTTTTATCTGTAAGCTGCTGGTGTGAGGCTATTTTGTCCTGACTCCTGAACCACTTACTTGCGGTCTGAAAACACTGCTTTCAGTCATCTACATAGTCGAGTCATCTGCAGCATATGATATTGAACTTGCAACTAATCTAAACTGTTATAATTTCTAACATGTTACATACTGTACTACTTAGACAACTTTCTAAGAAGGGGGGAAAAAAAAAAAAAAAAAAAAAAAAAAACCCAGAGAAATCATAATAATAAATTTGTGATACATCAGTTTAAGATATTGGAAGGTGTTACACAATTCTCAAGAAGCATTATCCAAATAACTGTGAGTGCTCTAAACACAGTTCACTGCGATTTGAAGTAGTACTGCAGAAGTGCAGAATATGGATTAATCTCCTCTGTACATTTCTTACATAAAAAATTCCAAATATGTGCATAGTACGTAGTCAGATATGAACCATTGTACGAGTAAAAACACGATTCATGGTTTTACTTTTACACTACCTAGAGCTTGAGGTGCCAAAAGGTCCTCTTTATCATTTGTATTGCTTAACAATGTGTTTTTTCCAAAAATTAATATACATAAAACATCAACTTACTTGTCTTTGCTTTGTGTAGTGGATCTACTGTCCTATTTATCCATTGCAGAAATTGGAGAAGGGGGTGCAGCTGACGAGTATTTAACAATTGTGCATGATCATCATCTACATATGAAGGAGGTGGACAATTACTTGGCGTTTTCACCACTTCCCTAGATCATTAGCCATCTCTTCTGCCTGCAAAGCATCATAATCGGAACTCTCTATCCTATTTAGTGAATCCAATATCTCATCCATAGATGGTCTGAATTCCTTGTCATGTTGTAAGCACTGGAATGTGAGCTCTGCCACCAAAGTAGTCGTCCTCTTAACGTTGAAGTCTGAGGCAAAGCCTAATTGCGGGTCTACCAACTCATCAAAAGCACATGTTTGAATCCTGTTCATCGCATAGTTAAACAAGTTGATCTCACTTCCATTCCTCTCCGAGTCAATTGCAGGCAAAGAAGAAATAGGCCATGTTTGGTAATTGGCTTTTTAATGGCTTTTTGGTTAGCTTTTGGCTTTTTAAGGTGGTCAAACAGCCAAAAAATGTGTTTGGTAATTGGCTTTTTAGTCAGCGAAAAAGCTGGCTTTTAAGTCAAAATGAAAAGGCTGCTTTGAGTAGCTTTTTTGTTGGCTTTTGGCTTGTTGGCCCACAAATTATCTAATAAACAGCCAACAACCACCAATTAATTTACCAAACACTTTTGTAAACAGCCGATTTCAAAAGCCATTATAAACAGCCAAACATTTCAACTGGTCAAACAAGCCAAGTGAACCAGCCAACAACCAACCGCCAACAGCCATTTGCCAAACAAGGCCATAACCTCAATGAGAACAACCTCAAAGCTGCAAACCTCACTTCTACCAGTTGATAACATTGGTGATACTCCGGGTCTACGTACCCAGGAGTTCCCTGTGATGCTGTTGAGACATGAGTTACATCAGTTGGAAAGAGTCTAGAAAGTCCGAAATCAATCAACCTAACTTTGAAGCTTTCTGTTAAAAAAAAAAAAAAAAAAAAAAAAAAAAAAAAAAAAAAAAACTTTGAAGCTGCTAGCTGTCTAGGAGAATGTTTCTAGTTTTGGCATCAACGGTGTATGATATCACAAGCATGAAGGTATGAAAGTGCACTGGCTGTTTCAATCAGTGGCGGATTCAGGATTTCCAAGTAGGGGTAGCGAGCACGTAGTTGTTTAAGAAAATTTTAAAATAAAATTAAAACCGGACTTTATTTTAGCTATTCATATTGAAAAATTCCCACAAAAACGATTAGCAAAATAATAAACTGAGTGGTTTTATTGATGCAATGCAGTATGTTAGTATATTGTTGTGCTACTTATTAATTGACAATGTGATTTTGGACATGCATACATTTGGCCGAGAACTTAAAGCAATTACTAAGATATATTATACTTATAAAAAATAATTACGATAAAAAAAAAAAACCTACATAATGGTATGTGGTATCAAATTAACTATTTTTAGAAATTAATACTAGTGAATTTTATTTGTACTTTTATTTTAACAAACAATTCGTATCTAATTTATCATTATAGTTCATAAAATACTCCATACATCATAGATAATTTATGAAAATGAAATAAAATCTTTATCAATAAGAGTAATGGATTATTTTAAATTATTATTAATCTTATTAATGCTTTACTTATACATGCACATTATGGTATAATTGGTAAATTCTCTCTTACCACTGCAGCATTGATAAGCATCTAGTATAAATGTCAGTATTAATAAATTTATACCGAAATTCTGGGGTATGGATCCGCCATTGGTTTCAATGGCAATTCTGAGGCGAATGGGCCATGTGAGTGATCCGGGTTTTGCCTTTTCAGCAAACAGGTGATCTGCCACAGTCCCATTTTCCACATACTCATATACAAGCAGTAATTCCCTGCAGTGCTGAGAAGTGCATCCATAAAGAGTTACGAGGTTTTGGTGACTCAGACGCGTGAGTATCTAAATTTCATTCATGAACTGTTCCACCCTTCTGAAGTTCTTTTCATACAGTTGCTTTACTGCTACTTCCCTACCATCTTTTAGCTTTCCTATGGTTGAAATTTTTATTAGCTACTTAATGATGAGGTTAAGGCTATCTTTTTTGGGTATACAGATGTACTAATGTACTTCCACTACGAGTACTCTAGATTACTTGCATCTCTTTGATAGTTTGATGGGATACGCATGCCAATGCACAACTTAAGGCTCATACAAGGCAAAGCCTAGCTTAACTTGTATGTTTCTGCTTAAAATGCACTAAAATATGTTGTTGTGGATGAATTGATAGAGTAATAGCTTGGTTGTTGTCTAGTTGTTGGGTAGTATATATGAGTGTGGACTGATGTGAAGCTTCTACTAAGTGTGTCATACCTTAGTAACACTTTGTGGATTGATTGATATGATAATTGATTGCTCTTTGTTCTTGGTATGTTAATTGAGGTCCCTTGTTTTTACTTGCAGGATCTGTATATACTGGTGTATATTTTGTTGGGCCCAGGTCACCCACCTTGTCGGGATGCACGCACACTCAACTCCACATTAGTACGACATTGTCCGCTTTGAACCTAACTCGCATGGATTTGTTTTTGGACACCTTCCCAAAATGCCTCATACTATTGGAGTGTGCTTCCACTTATAAGGAGCTGTTTACTTCCTTAATCTTTCCATGTGGACTTGGGATGAACACCCCAACAGATTTCTACAAGAGATTATGTAGGGTGTCCATTATTAGAAGGTTCATCAAAACCAATGGATATAATCCATTATTTCTAACTTTCATTGGATTTATCTTTCAGTTTCTTATAAGGTGGAAGATCAGCTAAATAAGATGATTGTATATCTTGCTTATTGACATAATGACAGTAACATTTATGTTTTTGTGAATTGTTGACATTTAAGCTTTGTAGTAAATTTATAAGCTAAATTAAAATATGTGAAATAAGGGTTAGACTATTGATATTGATATTGAAATTGATTAGACTTAGGACCTGTTTTCTTACGTTGAAATTCAGTTCAGTTCATTTCAGTTCAGCTCAGTTCAGTTCAGTTGAGCTCCTAATTTCCTTCTCTTATAAAATATTCATTTCAGTTCAGTTCAGATCAGTTCAGCTCAGTTCAATTCAGCTGAGTTCAGTCAATGAGAACAGGCCCTTAGTTCATGAAGAATCTCGGTAGAAAGAATTGTCAAATTGTTGAAGAATAAACCTCTCAAGTGTCACCACATGTAAGTGTCCCACATTGTTTGAAGAAGAGAGAGTTAAACACTTTATAAGGCTAAGGAGCTAATCCTCCTATTGTCAAGTGGTTTTGGAATGGAACCTCCTTCGATCTTGTGAAGTGAACTCTCTCTCTTGGTTTGCGGGTAATTCACTAGGCCAACAGTAGGTCCATGTGAGGAGGAGTGAAGAAGCACTCTAGCCCGAAAAATCACATGAGACAAAGTTAAAAAGGGACCTTACATGTGAGGGGGAGTGTTGAAGAAGAGTTAAACACATTATAAGGCTAAGGGGCTACACCTCCTATTGCTATGTGGTTTTGGAATGTAACCTCCTTTGATCTTGTGAAGTGAACTCTCTCTCTTGGTTTGCAGGTGCGGTCTAGACCCGCGTTTAACACAAATGAAGCTGCAATTTCAGTTTTGGATTTAATTTTTTTGGCTGTGTTTTGGCTTTATTGAATGACTGGCTTTATTGACTGACTTGAATATGCTGCCATGTTGCTTTCCTTCTGCTACAGACTGTGTTGCCTTTGATGCTTCACTATTTGCTCTACTTGAGCTACTGCTACTTCTGCTCTACCCTACCAAGGTTGTTGGTGCAGCTAGTCTGGTAAGGGTGCAATTATTGCTGCCTTGACGAGGCTACTGCTGCAGTTGGCCTAGCAAGGTTGCAGATACTGGCCTCGAAAGGTTGCAGCTAAGTACCTAAGTATATATATAAGTGTCTGTCAATCGTGCTTAGAGAAAAATTAATAATAAAAAAAACCATTAATGGCTATGTTCACTGGACTCTGCCAAAGTCCAGAAGTATCCGTGTCGACACGACACGACGCGGACACGGACACGAAATTCGTGTCAAATTCGGTAGTGTGCACTCGGACACTTCAGATAGAGGCTGAAACTCCATTATTGCCAACTTGAAATCGTGAGTTGGTATAAACTTTTTGCAGACTCCATTGTTTCCGGCATGAGTTGATCGATATTAGGAAGAGAAAATGAAAATTTTGGTATTTACTCTGATATCAGTGAGGAAAAGATGGAAAAGTGGGACAACTATTAATTAATAAGGGTGGAAAAGTGGGACAACTGTGTGGTAGCTTTTGAATTTAGTTATTTTATTTGTCCTTTGACTTTTGACCACTCATCCTCTCTCTTTTATATCAGTACATATCTTTTACATATTTTTTTTTTGTTTTTTTATATATATTAAAAGTTGTACTACACATACTACAGTACACTTATTACTACGTACTTACTTTTACTACAAGTATTTTTTAATCTATATTGTCTGTCATGCTACTGTATTATTTAAATTAGTTCATTTTAAATTATTTTAAAATATAATTATATTTTAATTTCCTAGGTATTAGACAAAGAAAATTAATGAAATATTTAAATAATTTGTTATGTATATTTTTTTT